AGTAGCTCTCTGGCAGAGCCTGTGACCGTTCCCCAGTGTCCACCAGCTCCGCCACCTGCCGAGGTTCCTCTGCGTCAGATTGGGGCAAAGGGACTGGGGTCGGGCCAACGTGGGGAAGTGATGGAGTAAATCCCTTCCTGGCCCTAAATTCGTTATGCAGGATACACTGTGCCCCTCTTCCCTGCCTGGGTGACTCAAGGCCTTGTATTAAAGACAGACGAGGCTCACACACGTGAGCAAGAAGACGTGGGTGATTTCATGCCCGGTGGTAGAAGCTCCAGGGCTTATTTGTTCCAGGAACAGAGACTGGCCTATCCTAACTAGTAAAAGCACTAACTTGGAAAGTTTAAGTTTGTGTAACAGAGCCTCCCACTTTTTTTCTCTGAGTGCCCAGAGGAGTCAAGCATAGAATCTGGCCCAGAGTAAAATGAAGAAATGAAGGAAGAAATGAATTTATAAATGTTCGTTCACCAGTGCCATTGGCGACACCCTCGGGGGAAGAGCATTCTCCTGGCTGTGGCAGCACAGGCCTTGGTGAGGACTCACACCATATACTTTGGGGCTTAGCAAGAGCTCCTAATCCCAAGTCTGTGAGCAGAGAGCTCTGCTCCCCTGGGGAGGAGTCCCTGCCTCAGTGGGAGCTGGCTGCAGTGTGCGCCCATCTGTCCCCAGGAATTACATCACAAACATCCAACCGGAGCTGGAAATTACACGGCAAATAGTCAGCAGACACCAGGGATCTATTAGAATCTGAAGGAACACAGGACAAGGACTTAAACCAGCGATTTTTAGCACAGACTCCACAAAAGCTGTGAATCCACTCAGCTCCACGGCTACGAGGCTATGGCTGAACCCGGGAGGGTACTGTGAATGTGTACTCCGATATAAGCCGAAATAGAAGGTCAGGCAGAAGAAAGAACTCTGTGAAGAAAGCTCTGACCTCACCGATTCTGTGGCCAGAGGTAACACAGACAGGGAATAAAGTATTCATGGCAAGAAATTGCCTTCTAAGGAAAAAGATTCCCAGGTATTTTATGCCTTTATTTTATTTACATATTTACTTGTATGGTTTGTGAGGGAACGCATATTTAGAAGAATACATGCTACTCCTAATGAGCACCTACTGCTTACCAGGCCCTTCAATGCACCTTTTCTCACGTGAGCACCAGAAGGATTCACGTTTTACCATTGAGGAAGCTGATAAAAATGGAGTGACACGCTTAAGGTCTCCCAGCTGGAAGGTGGCCGAGCTGAGTTCTGACCCAAGTTGCTGTCTGACTCCTGAGCTCACATTCACTCTGCTGCGAGATGCCATCTCACAGGACAGCACCCCAGCATGCCCGGGTGTGCATCTGAGACATGAGCACCAGGAATCGTGTGGGCACATTCTGGGGCCGTCCGGTTAGAGGTGGTGGCACGGCCACATTAATGCTCACAAGGAGAACTCCAAGCTCCCTAAAGGTGAACCGCCCCGGCTTGCCGCCTCAGGTCCGGTTGCGCAGAAGCAGAGCCTGAGACAAGGATCCAAGCGCACGTGCTGCGTCTGCAGGCAGTCACTGAGGCTGGGCTCACAGGGCTCCCAGGGCTCCCGGGGAAGGGGGTCTAGGCAGGGCACCAGCGGCCACCACAGCTGGCACGAGAAGCTACTCTGTCAGGGAGGAAGACAGCCTTGACTTTAGACCCCTGAAGAACACCATCCTAGGAGTCCCTTCCTCTGATCTCTCCCCCAGGGGTTTTTGCTGCTTGAGCTGAGACACAGAGGTTTTCCTTTATTCTTCCAGGATCCAGCTAAAGCAGGTCGGCTAACACAAAGCAGTGCCAAAGGCTTGGGTTAAGAATAGGAAGGAAACACAAAGCGGACCATGACTGCAGGTAGCGGGATTCTGGTTGCTCGGGTTCCACGCCTACTCAACCACGTGGGACTCTGGAAGGGGACTGGACAGAGCCCCACCCTTTCTAGCTTCTGATCTCCCTCGGAGAGGTGAGCACTGCCATGGCCAGCAGCAAACCACGGGACACGCACGCTGGAACTGGACCTCCTGGGTTTGTGTCCCGCTGCACAACCTCAGGCAAGTTACTTCCTCTTTCTGTGTCTGCCTCCTCATCAGTGTAAAGGGGCAACCACAGTGCCTGACCCAGGAGGTGAGCTAGTCGATGTCAAGTGCTAAGTTCTAGGCACTGTGCTTCCGGCTTTACATGGTAACAACAGCAACTGAACAATTCCTATGATTGGGGTACTTTCCAAGTGTCTCCATGTATCAGTTCATTTCATCCTCACACCCACCCTATGAGGTTAGTGTGTTATCATTTCAACTATATAAACGCAGAAACCAAGACGTGGAGAGGTTACGAAAAATCCCCGAAGTCACGCAGGTGGAGTTTGGATTCAAACCAGTGTGCCTGACTCCAGAACCTTTCCCTCCCACTGCATGTTGCCTTGCGTGGGCTCATTGCATGCTCCCAACAATCTGGAGGTACAGGCATTGCTGTCCCTGTTATAAAAACAAGAAAACTGAGGGCCAAAAAGGGGCGAGTGATTCGACCAGAGTAATTTTCATTTGGTGGAGCTGAGACACCTACACTCAGGTCTACCCAATCCTGCTCTCTGCACTACACCTGTTCATGCCCTTCCTTCTCTTCCTCCTCCTCCTTGTCACCGTCATCGGTGGTGGCAGGATGACCACCCTCTGGGCAGCCATGGAAGGGCACAGGTGGATGAGAGGTCTGCATGCTCTGTAGCTTCTCCGTGGCACTTACCTTGCTGTGAGCACAGATGGCGGAGCCCAGGAGCTTCCAGGTGCCGCCCCTCCGGTCCATCCGCAGCATGCGCAGGATCTGCAGGAAGCGCAGGCTCCGCAGGGAGGTGGCCAGGACATTGCCCTGGTTTCCCACGGCAACCACGGGCACAGAGGCGATCAGCACAAAGATGTCTGGGGGAGAGGACAGAGAGAGTGGCAGGGAAGAGGGGAGAGAGGTCGAGCAAAGGCAATGGCATCATCGCAGGTGCTGTCCGCTGGCAGGTGGACACGTGCCACGCAGTGGGACGATCTAAGCACTGTGGCGTTGAATTTTGACACCCACCACATGTGGTAAGTGGGATTATTGTCCTGTAAGCGATGAGGAAGCAGAAGCTCTGAGCATGAGTGCCTTCCCACGGCCACACAGCCAGAAGTAGTTGAGTTGGACACAGGCCTGTCAAACTCCAGTGCGGGCTCTAAACCGCAGAGCAGCGATTTCCCAGGCTCCCTGGGTAGTAATTGGGATTCGCTCTCAGGTCGGGAGGGAATCTGGAGCTGCTCAGGCTGTGGAGGTGAAGCCTGAACCTCAGACACTGTTTTCCTAGGGAGTTCCCTTAAAAGCATCACCAGAAACAGGAACTTGAGTGCAGGTAATTTATAGAGAGATAATTGCAGGATGCAAAGTGATTGCAGAAGGAAAGAGAGGAGAAGAGCACAATGTAAGAGGTTGTTGTGAAGGTCACTGTTGAGTCTTTCGAGCTGTAGGCAGAACAACCCCCAAGATCACTTGTCTCAAAATTGGGAGGCTGGGGTATCTGTCCTTTCACTTTTGTCCCCTGCTGCAGGAGGGTCACCTCTGGGGGTATTAATGCCCCATAGTTCTGAGCGGCACTTGCCTAGTGGCCTCCCTAAGATTCAGAGAAGGCCTTGGAGTCGATTGTGGAAAGGAGCAAGGCCCACCCATGACGTGGGATGCTGGTATCAGAGGGTGGCATGAAAACGTCCACCACAGCCATGGATGGAGCCAGAGGAGGCCATGGGGATTAGACACCTTTCCAATGGCTAAGGAGGCCCCTGAAATCAGCAATCTGTTACAGAAGAGAGGGGAACTGGTCTCTGTCCCCTTCAGTGGCACCCAACACCTGTATCAATTATTGCCCCACTGTCCTGCAGAGGGTTAGCAATTAAAAAGGACCCCATGGCCAAGTAAATTTGGGGAAAACGCAATTAAACAGGTTTTTAAAATTAGCAGAGAAAAGCAACATTTCCCCCAAGGGTCACACTATGGGACAGGTGGAGCTATGTAGGGTGGAAAACACAGCAACATCTGGAAAGACACCAGCAAGGGTGGTGTGACACTGAGGACCAGCCTTGTCTCTCCAGGAAGGGCAGAGAGGGGCCCTGGAGCTCTGTGACTGCAGCCCATCCTGGGACAGTGGACCCCGCCTCATGGGGAACATGCCTGTCCTGGAGGGGTCCAGGTGCCACACCCCAGGATGTTCTCGAACTGGACAGGAATATTTTTAAATTTGGGTATAACCCATCACAAAGCCACCCCTCCACACATACACACACAGGACTCCTGCTCAGCACTGGATAGGTCACTCCAAGAAGAAAAAGAAGTCTTAATACCATTGCACTTGCAAAACACTTGGAAGGAAGAAAAGGAGAGAGGAAGGGAAGGAAAGTGGGGAGTAGATATTGAAAGAGGGCAAAGGAAGGGAGAAGAGAGAAATATGAAAAAATATAGTAAATAAAATTGTGTTCATGTACACACACACACATACACCACACACACACACACACACACACACACACACACACACACACACCCTACTTGCATTCAAAATTCTGAGAAAAAAACCAAAAGCCTCAGAAGTCCAACCTCAGCAGCAGGCGGTAGCAAGGCAGAGAGGTTTCAGCAGGGAGAAAGCAAGGCCACACAACCCCAGTTGCACAAAGAGAAGGCTGGCATTTGGGACAAATGATATGGTCCGGCCCTTCTCTGGACTGGCCGTCCACTCTTGAAGAACTGCATTCAGTCCTGCCAATCATTTTTCAAAAGGGGATTGAGCAATGAGCAGCATCTCAGTGGAGAGAGACTGTGGTGCTGAGAACATGTGATGCAAAGGAGAAGCTGTTAAGGACATTTTTCTTGGATAAAAGAACACTGCTGGAAGGGGAGGAGGAATGAAATGCCTAGCCTCAAACATCTGAAGAAAATCAGAGGAGTTAAGATAGGGATAAATACTTTGATAGGTAGTGAGCACCCTGTGACTAGAGGCATAGAAGCAGAGTCTGGGTGACCACTTAAAGGCTGCTGCAAGCAACTGGAGCATCAGACAGGAGGGCACGTTGGACTAAATGCCTTTGGATGACATTCTATGATCCTGTAACTTTATCCTTTATCCTATCCTCTAACTTTTTCCCAGGGATTTGAAGCTCCAAGACTCCTACCTGTCACTCACGGAGATTCTGTTCTGTCACTACAGGGATCGTAGCAGCATTTTCAGATGGGAACACATGGGCCCATACTGCACCAATAGGTCAGTGAGAGCTTCCACCTGCTCTACTATCAAAATGCCTGCCCCTGAATGGAGGGATTCCAGTGATGTCTCTCAAAGCAAACTACAGATCCAGACATAAGACCACACCTGGATGTTAGGATGGAATCTGCTGCTGACCGCAAAATCTGCTGCTGACTGGAAAATGACTCAGCTCTGTCAGCCTCAGTTTCCATCTCTGTAAAATGGGTATATCATGGTCCTATAGAAGTAAATTCTTAATGAGCAGTGGGGTCATGCCTGTCACCCCCACCCCAGCCAGTCTGGCAACGTGTGGCTAATTTTGATCGTCACAGTGACTGGGAGTGCTGCTAGCCTAGGGACCAGGGATGCTCAGCATCCTGCCACCTGCTGGCTCCTTCAGAACTCAAATGCCAAGAGTGATGCTCCCCCACTCCCCCAATTAAGAATCCCTGCCCGGTACAGTCATTATGAGCATAAGCCATGGAAGGAGGAATTTCAGCACCGGGAGGCTGCCGCTGTCCCTCTCATCCAGGCAGGGGCAGAGGCCAGGCTGGCCTCACAATGCCGGTGGCTTCCCAGAATAGCTGCTTAGAACCTCCTCAGAGGAGTAATGCACCGAAAGAAGGGAACTGAGGAGGCCCCCGGGCTGGGGGTCAGGGCTTACCCAACATGCACAGGGGCTTCCTGGCGAACTTCAGGCGTCCCCGCCAGCCTTTGTACCGGCAGCAGCAGCCGGCGGCCCAGATCCTCAAAGCAAACTCAGCCCCGAAGATGAAAATAGCAAACGTTTCCTGCGTGGAAAAGCACACAGAGAGGCCCTGATTAACTGGTCCCCGGTCGTCCAGAACGAGGGATTCCTGCCCTGAAGATCTGCAGAACTAGGTTGCTGCTGTCGCTGTGGTTGTTTCCTTGGTGGTGGTGGCCGGGGTGGGGAGGGGGAGGAACAGAACGGGTTGTTCACCTCCATTCAGTCTGGAGAGCTGTCTGCATTCTGAGGTGCTAACTGTCCCTAACACTGGTGAGCCCTGCAAAGTGATTACTCGTTCTTTTTTCTATGATTTTGTTCCAATGTATTACTTTTTTAAAAAGTCCCTTTCGTGTACAAAAAGGCCCTAGGAAGCACAGTTGGGTTGAAAAGAGAGGTATAAATGAAACGTAATCCATTACTTCCACCCAGCATCTGGGCCTTGGTGTTGCTAATTGCAGCTAACGGTTACTAAGCCTGGCTCCCAGGCCAGGCACCCCCCGAGTGTTTGATAATATTATCCTCATCTTGAATTTTGAGAGACTAAGGCATACAGTGGTTAAACAAAATTCTGAAGGCTATGGAATCGCAAAGCAGGGATCCCAGGCTCAGGTAGCTAGGCTGCAGAGCCCATGTCCTGAAGCACTCTGCCACGCCGCCTGCCTTCCCTCCTGCACCTCCCTTGATGGTCAAATACCCACACCTTCACCTCTCTCTCTTTCGTGACCTCCCTGGGACCCTGGAGGCATCGCTGCTCCACAGCAATCCCTGAAACCTAGCTCCTGGAACAGGATGGTTTGCAAGGATTCTCCAACTCAAGTCTGAGCTCTGAGTGGTGCGGCTGCAAACACTGCCCTCAGAAGGGACCTGCTGCCTCTGGAGTGGTGGATGGCATGACCACTGCTGCTCTGTGTACCCTAATTAGGGGGCTAGCATCCCTTCCCTGTGGACACTGGGGCCACACTCCATGCCATCACAGTCACCTTCAAAGCTGAGGCTGACTCCTAACCTAGCAAGGGCACAGTCATTCAAGAGCCCAGTTGACCAGTGCTGTCCTGGGGCTGTAGAAGGAGCAAGTCCTGCTTGGAGCCTCTAGGCAAGGTGCTGAGGCTGGGCCCAGCCCATGTCACCGTTTGCTCCTCACCTCACGTGACATTCTTTAGGCAAGGATGTGAGCAGAGTCAGGGTATGCTAGGTAACTTGCCCAAGAATTCTAAGGCTGCTTTCTCTTCACCACACCGCACAATGGAGAGCAGAGAGTGAAAACAGGTGAAGGACTTAGCTCTCAGTGAGAGCTTCCACCTGCTCTACTATCAAAATGCCTGCCCCTGGATGGAGGGATTCCAGTGATGCCTCTCAAAGCAAACTACAGATCAAGACATAAGACCACACATAAGACCCATTTTATGTAGAAATGGGATTCTGTACTTGGCCTTGAAGAGATCCTCAGAGTTTAGGGAGTAGGACACCAGGGAGAAAAAGTAGAGGCAGGTTTTAGAATGGAAACCGCCTTTGGGTTAACATCCGGAGGACTGGGATACATTTGAAAGTATGTGTTGGTTTTAACTTGACCTTGTTTATTTCCCTTATCTCTAGCATGGGATGGCAAATCCCTATCGGGTATGCCATTCCTCCCTCCATCTGTGCCCATGGCAGGCCTCACCAAGTAAGGGAGGCATTGCTTTCTCTTGAGCCTGGGCTTGGCTGGAGACCCAAGGGCAGCCTCCTTCTCGTGACTGGAAGTCTACCCAGGGGTGTTCGCCCCAGAGCGCAGCAGCGTGTGGGGTGGCCGTCCTACCAGTAGCAGCAGCCAGTCTCCAGAGACGGTCTCGTACTCCTTGAACGTGGTCAGGACAGCCAGAATCAAGCACCCCAGGACAATCAGGAACCTAGAGGAGAAGGAAGAAAGAGACTAAGAAACCTTTGAGGCTAAGACGGGGACAGGCGTCAGCCAGGATGAAGCTTCAACTTCCACTGAACATGGCTACATGCTGGATATGCTATCCCACTTAATCTTCCTGACAAACCTACCAGGCAGGTAGGAATTGCTGTCCCAGCTAAAGACAACAAGGTCAGAAAGGTTGAGCAATATGCATACTTTTACTTAACCAGCTAGTTAGTAGAACCAATTAGTTAGAATTCAAACTAGATCATCTTGTCCCAACCTGGGAGAGTTGTAGGATCCCCGAACAACCAAAAGTTAACACAAGTTTTGGTAAATCAGCAAGAATATAAGTAAATTAATAACATTCTTCCACATATAGAACTTTGATTTTAAAATATATGAAGATGTTTTCTTAATATGAAAAAAACACTAATTTACTCCAAAGATTGATAAATTCAGCAAAGGAGTCTGTTACCAAGTATGAATATTATTCCATTTTATAGTCAATGGCTACTGAAGGAAAGAACCTCTTTCAACTAAAGATCTTCAGAATTGTTTTTGAAATGCTAGAAAGAATAAGAACCACTGCACTGAAGGATTCTGAATGTTGGTCCTTTAAAATTCATGGAGAAGTCACCTGGTTCATGCCTCTGCCACAGACAGGAGCACACTGCAAATAATTATTTAAGATTTTTGTCTTTATAAACTCTGTGGGGTGTGTGTGCATATGTGTGTTTGTGTCTCCGAGAGAGAGAGAGAAAGAGAGAGAGAGAGAGAAAGAGAGAGAGAGAGACCATGCCTCACTGTTTCAGCAAAGAAAAATGGTTCTCCCTCTTGGTGGAGAGTCTTTGGTTCGATGATGGTCAATATGAGGTTCTCTGGGTGTCTATGAGGGAATTTACAAGGCAGGGTCCATGAACGAAGTTTGGCAGCACATACACCAAGCTTTCCTACTCCAGGTAATCTCGCTTTCTGTCCTACTAAGTTCTAGCCATGCTGTTTTGGCTTTTGTCCATTCATTCATTCAATATTTATGCAGCAGACTCTGGAGACACAGAGCTGGAGTTCAACGATGAGTAAGCTAGATTGCGCTCATGAGCTCACAGTCCAAACGGAAAGCTGTCTCATCATGTGATGGTAAAACCATGACATAAGGAGGATGGAAATATCTGCTCTTGCCTTGGCTGCCACCCAAGTCCTGGCCCTGATCCTTAGGGATCCTGATCACATTTTCTGGCCAATAAACTGGCTGATCTGCAGGCCTGAATCTTTGTATTTCCAACCCTGCCTAGGAAGCTACACAAGATTCCCACCTCCCTCATGTGTTTGGCCATTTTATTTGAAATTCATGATTCTGACTCATGACTGGAATCTTCGTACCCTGAGTCCCAAATCTTTGGTGAGGATGATGATAATGGTGATGACGATGATGATGGTCACAACATCAGCAAATCTCACCATTACTGTTTTGTGAGCATCTACCACTTGCCACTTTATACATCCTCACGACAACCTCCCGTGTTAGGTATAATCGTTCCCTTTTTGGATATGAAGAAATTCGTAAGAAGGAATCATTGCCATCAGGGTCATTGCGTTGTCAGCAAAATGACCACAGAGTTTGGAGTCCAAAGACGTGGGCTCAGGAGGAGGCCCTGGCGTTCTCTATGTGATTTTGAGCAGCACATGGAGCTGGGGCGCCCCAGTCATCTCATCTGTAGAATGGGAGTAAGGAACCTGTCTAGAGCTCATAACTATTGCAAGGACCATGGAAATGACGGATGTGGGAAAGTGTTTGGTCACCTGTTTAGGGTCATGGTGCTCTCACAGACACATGCTCAACGCTGGCCAGCCAGGCCTGGGGAACACGCACGGAACTTAATCGCTCTCGTAGGTTTCTGCAAGTCCACACTCTAGTTCTCTCAAGACATTATTTTATTCATTCATAGGCTCTGTAGCTAATACCTGGATTAGAATTTCCTTCCTCCTCTTATAATCTGTCTGTTTTTAGGCAAATTATGCAACTTCTCAGTATCTTGGTTTCCTTCTGTATAAAGTGAATCCAATGAAAGTGCCCATATTCTCAATTACCCTCTGATATAATCCAAGTCAGGTCTAGGAGAGTGCCTGTCAGATAGTGAGGCTTCAGTGAGAGTTGGCTATTGCTTTATTGTGATTTAATTTCCATTTATTGGGTACCTCTTTTGTCCCAGATGTAGTACTGGTTTTAAGGCTACAAATATGAATAAAATCTATTGCTCATTTCTAAGGACCCCTTAGTTCAATCGAGAAAACAGAGGACAAATAATTACAGGAGAGTGTGTTCAAGGTCATGATTCAAGTGTTCACCCCATGCTTTGAGGGCACAGGGTTGGAAGCACCCAGAAGGGCTGTGGCCGAGAGGTAGGAAGGATTTCTAAGCTTAGCTACTGGGTCATTCACCATTTTATGTGTGTTGACCTGGGCTATAGCTCCCTAGGCATTGTGAACAACATGTGCAAGTGCAAAGAATACTAAGTTCAGGGACACAGAACCCAGTTTGATCTTCTCCCTCAGTAAAGGGTGCGGGCCTTTTATGATCTGGCCTTGCCCTCTTCACAGCCTCATCATCTCTCACTGCTCCCCTATTCCCAGGCCGGTCTCAGGAATGACAGCATTTCTTCAGATTCTCTGAGCCCATGTGCCATCTGTCTCGATGCTCCTCTTCCCTGCCTGCCCCTACCATGCCCCCCACTGTCCTCCTGCTAATGCTTTGGCAGCATCACTCATGCTTTGCTCTAGAGCCTTCCCAGACCCCAGCTGCTCTCTGCAGCCTCCCCTGTGTGGTCCCTTCCCTGGGATCCCATGGCACCCTGATGCATTCCTACTCCAGCACTGATTATAACCTGTTATCGTTTTGTAATGGTTTGCCTGCATTGGGTGCTAACTAAAACATGCTATGCTAATGCCTGGCACTGGGATTCCTCTTAGGGAGGGAACTGTCTTTGTCTAGTGAAATATTTTATTGATCCTGTTGTGCTGGAAGTTGCAACCCTAAAGATATGAGGCTACTGAACCACTTAACAAGAAAAATTAACCAGAAATTGGAGATGGGGTTGATGTTGAGGGCCAGGAATGACAAACAAAAAGAAGAGGATGTGGCCTAGCCACATTCTGAAGGATTTTTAAGACCGAGATTGTCTAAAATTTTAAGTTCTTTGTCCTACAGTGCAAGCCGTCAACCACAGCCTGTGAGTGGCTTTGTCTTTAGCTGACATTAAACATGGAGCTGTAGCCCATGGCTGGGTCAATCCTGACTAATTTGGGAGGAACAGGATCCCTTAGCCAGACTCAGACACTTTACTCAGCTTCCTGTACTTGAGCTGTATGTAAATCTTGGGAAGATTCTACAAGGTGTGTGTGTGGTGGGCATGCCCTCAAGTGATCCCCAGTGAGTCATGTTCTTGTATAATTGCCTCTCCTGAGTACAAGCAGAAACTGTGACTGGGTTCTAACAATAGAATATGGCAACAGTGATGGGCTGTCACTCCTCAGCTTAAGTTTTGCTATATGGCAAAGGCAATGGGATAGTCACATTTGTGATATGTTACGTTACATAAGACTCTGTCCTCACAGACTGGAGCGGGAGATTCTTCTGCTGAGCCTTGCAGTGAGCTGCTGTGTTTTGAAGGGCCTGTGAGAGCTGTGTGGCAAGGAACCATGGTGGCTTCTGGGACGTGGGAGCAGTCCCCAGCTGACGACCAGCATGAAAGTGGAACCTGTCCTAGAACTGTGAGGACCAACAATCATGTGAGCTTGGAATGCGGCCCAAAGCACCAGAATGGAACACAGTCTGGCCAACATCTTGATTGCTGTTTTGCGGGACCCTGAGCAGAGGACCCAGTTAAGCTGTGTCCAGACTCCTAACCTATGTAAACTGTGAAATTAAAAAAAAAAAAGTGTTATTATAATCCACTAAGTTAGCGGCAATTTGTTACACAGCAATAGAAAACCGGTACAGTGTGGAATGGGAATCTGCACCAAGTGCACCCAACTTTTACAGAGTGGGGTACCCCACGTGACGTCCGAGCTGCATTTGTGGGTTAGTCTATCAGACTCCACCCCCTTGAGACCAGAGATGGTGTTTTGTTCCTCTCTGTGTTCCAGTGACTAGCTCACAGCCTAGACCTCAGTAAGGATGGGTAAGTGTTTGGAGAATGGATAAGAACAATTTCAGAGATTATCAATTGTCCTGTTGTTGAAATTAAAAGCAAGGGCTATAAGGTGGTTCTGGAGAGACACTCCAGAGTACCATATGAAGGGTTTTTTGGGTCAAATGAAGAGTTTGAACTTTATTTTGCAGATCTTTAAAAACGTGTGTGTGTGTGTGTGTGTGTGTGTGTGTGTGTGTGTGTATCTCCACATCGATATCTATATCTATACCTATATCTATGTCTGTATCTATATCCCAAAACAGCTAACAGGAGAGTAAATACTCAGGAAGTTGTTGTCATGGGCTGACAAGAGAGGATGAGGGCTGAACTGGAGAGATGAGAAGAGTCCTGTGAGAGAGAACCTCCTGGTGGTCCCAGAAGGATTTGTGACTAATGGGAGACGGAGGCTGAGCAAGAGGAACAGGGGTGGGGGAGGGGCGGACACCGTGCTGTTCACAGGCATCAGCAGGGCTACAAAGACAAAGCTACGTGTGGACCTGCTAAATTTGAGGTCCAAGTGGAAATCTCCATTAGGCCGACTGAAATCTAAGTATAAGGTTTAGAAGAGAGGTCAGGGCTGAAGACCTAACTCCCTTTCAGCTCTAATAGTCTGATTTTAGAGCCAGGGGATAATTCAGTTTTAACCAACCACCAAAATGCAGTTTCAGCCTGGTACACATCTGCATGGAGCATGCAGAACCCAGCTTCGGCCAGCAGGGGGCGGCAAATGCCTGGCGTAGCTCTGCACTTTCCCACGCCTCACCAGCAACCTCGGGAGTCTACGTTCTGAGATTGGAGAACAATCATTAACTTG